AAAAAAAAAAACAGTGCCTATTATGTCAGGCATTGTGCTAGGCATTCTATCCATATCCTGCCTAAATACACATTCTCAGAAAACTTGACTACTCTTTTTATAACTCTAAATTCTCTTTCCTACCTGCAAACTTCTAATCTTCTACATGACAGAGGCTTTCAACTGGCTGAATAAACAAACATATATTTTACTACTTCTGTAGAGCCTATCAGAGACTTGGAGAGTGTTGGACTTTCTAGATAGGCCTCTTTAAGTAGGTGATGAGCTTTCCTATTCCAAGAATACTAGCACTCTTTGAAATAACCAATTCATGACCCTGTTCAGTGGAACCCTAAAAGACACAGCTGACACTGCCCCTCCCCAATCCTAAATGCAACACCAATCCTTCTGCTGCCCTCTTACACCCTAAACTATCACAAATCACTGACATAAGAATCTAGAATACTCTTAAAATGGAATTTTAACTCTAGAAAGGTCTAAATACTTTACAAATAAGCAAACTATTCTATTAGCTGAGTCATCCAAGTTTACCTAAGTGACTGAACTAGAACACTAAAACCAGAAAAATGATTCAGACTTAGAACCTTTTTCTGACTATCTGCTAGTGTTTACTATGAATTCCATTAACAATTCATTCAGTTCCTCCTGTGTGTCAGGCACCAGTGGTATGATGTGAACAAAACAGGCCTTGTCCCTGTTACTCTAGGAGAAACAAAATTACAGCGTGATTGCCTAGTGCTTCAGTAGTATGGGAACACAAATCCAGGGGCTGGTGCTGATTTTGTTTGGATTTTTAAAAAAATTTTCTTTCCTTTTAAATTGTGGTGAAGAGATAGGGAATGAATGGTGGGGAGGACAACTCTGAAGAATGCTTAAGTGTAAGGGGGGCAGAGTGAGGCCAAAGGGAACAGCAACCCAGGGCAAGGAACAGCACATGCCCGGATCCCAGCGAAGCAGCAGCATGGACATTGAGAGAATGAAAAGGCCAGCACAGCCAGCCAGAGAGCAGGGCACAGCTCAGGTTCTGCTGGAGACAGGGCAGAGCCAGATCAGACAAAGCAGAGCCCTAACCTTTCACCTAGCACTTAGCAGTTAAGCATGCACTTCAAAAGATTTTTTCTTTTGCTTCTCCACAAAGTTGTGAGGTAGCCTTTATTATTCCAAACTTAATTACTTCCTTTTCTTTGGAACACTCACCACAGGGTAAGGTCTAAGCCTGTTAACTAAATCACCTTGTCTGCTGGCAGTTACACACCTGCCTGTGGTACCAGCACCTAGAAAAGGTATACTAAACATTCGCTCTCAGAATGCCACTTAGAAAGGTGAGATGTTTACATTTTTTAAAAAGCTTTAAAAAGAATTGCCACCTATCTACCTACCTTCCTGCTGAAGACTTACACTCTGACACAGCATTTAAAACTTTGAGTTGTACGTCTGTCTTCTTCACTAGACTGTGACCTGTTTGATAGTGGGCAATGTATCTCATTTAACTCGATATGTAAATGATTTAGCACTAAGCAGTTAAGACTCCTGTTTGACAAAATGGATTCCTCCAATAAAAGTAGAAATATTAGTGTGTGGCCCTACAGGCTAGAGAGCCAATACACTACCAAACTCAGTTTAAGAGCAGAGGAATTTTGTCTCCTGTATGCCTGCAAGTTTATAATACTGTACGTACTTGATTTATTCATGAAAAAACTGTAAATACAATTTTCAGTGCACGTGGTACCAGGCTGTTATTTATAAACATCCCAGCAAGGCATTCATTGAACACATCAGCTACTGAAGTTTACTGCCCTGTGCTAAATGCTGGGAACCTGGATTTCAAGAACACGAATTTCATGCTTCGCTGACACTGAAGTTCCTTCTCGCAGGCACGGAAGTTCTTGAGAAGGGAAAAGTCCTCCCTACAGAACAGGTCAAGGTTCGGCAGTTTCTAGATCTCAAGAACACAATCCATCTGGGCCAAGCACAGAGGGAAAAGACCGTCAGGTGAGAAGCGTCCCTTCCAGCAAGGGAGCCGGTGCGGGCACAGAGGCCAGGCGCGCAGGGGCCGGGTGACCGAACGGGGGCAGAGGGGCCGGCTGCAACCTCAGGGTCCCGGGCCTACTCCGCCTGCCGCCCCCAGCCCCGGTCGGGTCCTCCTCCAGAAGCGGGAGGGCGGGCCAGGCTTCCGGCAGCAGGAAAAGCGACAGCGGGGCCGGCGAGTTCTCCAGCCAGGCCGGGCCTCGGAGCCGCAGACTCCGGGCCGGGGTCGGGCGGCCTCCGGCTCCTCTGCGGCTCGGCCAGCTCGCGGGCGCCCAGAGCGGGTCGCGGCCAGCAGAGCGCAGCCCCGAGGGCGCGGAGCCTTCGGACACGTTTCCGGGCCGTCCTTCCTTCCGCCCGCCCGCTCACCGAGGTTACCTTCCCAAGTGACATCGTAGAGCTCCGAGACCTTCGCCATCTTCCCGGAACCTGCAGGCAGCGCGCTGAGGGGCGAGGCGATGCGGTCACGTGGGCGGGACTGGGCGTGGCCAATGACGGCGTGGCTCCTTACTGGTCAAATTGGCGGGGGGCGGTGTCCGCCGCGCACGTGCGAGGGGCTAAGCAGGGAGGATTGGGGAGGCGGAGCCGAGGGGCGGGACTGACGGGGCCAGGGCCGGCGGTGGGCGGGGCTTAACTGAGGGAGGCGGGAGGGGACGGAACCAGCGGGCGGAGACCGAACCAGCGGGCGGAGGGGGCGGGGATTGGGCCGAAGAGGAACCCTACGGACCCCAGCGGCTCTGCGCCCGCCCCAGCCGCCGTCGGCGTCGGCGTCGGCGTCCGCGTCCCCCCTGCCAGCGCGGTCCCTCCCTGTCCGACCGGCCGCAGCTCCAGCGAGACAGGGAGGTCTGAGTCCGCCGAAACCCCCAGCCGCTGGGTCGAGGAGTGCAGACCGCGGACCGGGCCAAGGCAGCCGCCCTGAGCCCGCACCTCCTTCCCGCCGCACCGCCGGCCCGGAGCTCCGCCTGGCCCACGGCTGAGCTGCGGCACAGAGACCGCACCGCGGACTTGGTGCCCGGAGACTGACGACCGCCGCGGGAACTGTGCGGCTGGAGCAGGGAGCAGGGAGCCCTTCTGGAGCGGAGGGCAGCGGCCTCCCCTCTTCCCGAGCTCTGCGGAGAGCAGCCGACCCGCGGCCCGCCTGACTCGGCGTCCTGCACCGACCACAAGCGAGAACACGGCCCGGTACACACCGCAGTCCCTGTGCCCTTCAGCTGAAAACCGGGCCGCACCGTGAAGGGCAGTATGTGAACCGAGCCAGACACACCAGCTTCATACCGTCGGCCTGCTGTGTGAGCTGAAACTAGAAGACAGAAGCAACTAGACGCGAGTAGGAGATAGATCTTTCTCAGGTGGGACCAAGAGGTGGAGGGAGGGAAAGGGGGTGAAAGGGGACTAAGATGTGATGTGCCCCTGTGCTAACTACCCCAAGGAATGTAAATGCTGTGTACTGCAAACACTAGCAACAAGAGACAAGTGTCCGTGCCATCTGCCATCTGCCGCAGAAAAGTCATGTAAGAACAGAAACTAGTGAATTTATAGACTTGAGTTAAATTCTGAGTCAGCTTCATTGCAGACTAAAGGCTTTTTAAAGAAAAATCCTTCATGTAAAAAACTAACAAAAAATACTCCATTCGGAAACCCTCGCGATGTCCAAATGCACCTGAGAACCGAGAGGTGCGGTAAGGAGAGCAGCAACTCTCGGGTTTGGATCCACGCCCTCCCCTTAGGAACTGGGTGTCTTTCCACACGAAGCTGTCGGAGGTAAAAAGCTGAGAATATCTGTGTAAAATAAAAATACCCACCAGAGCCGCCGTGGAGATCAAGAGTCACTGCTGCTCAAGGGCTGGGTCCCCTCTCACGGAAGCCCTGTCCTGTATCTGCAGCTCCAGGTGCTGATGTTTGGCCCGGTGTGGCTCCTGACATGCACCTCAGTGACATCTGAGCACAACTGGGATTCCTACCATCCTCCCGACTCCCTGCTCCTCCCCTCATTTGATGAAACCATCCACCTGCAGCACAGGCTAGACTTGGAAGTGACCATGGTTCCCTTCCTTCCTGGTTATACTACACCATCAGCAAATCCCACGCTCCACCTCCAGAGCATTCCCTAGATCCATCTGCCTCTTTTTGTCTTCACTGTTTGCACCCTAATCCAAGCCACAACTGTCTGTTGCCTAAGTGGTCTTCTCACCAACATTGGTTCCTTCTTGCAGCTGCACTGGTCTTTTAAAACATCAGACCACAGAGATTCTTTGTGCATAACCCTCGAATGGCCCCTGTGACGATGAAAAGATGCTGGAGATCTTTACCGAGGTTATGGGGCCTCAGTCAGTCCGGTTCATGTGCACCTCTCTACCTGCGCCACTCTCTCTGATGTCCAGTTCTCTAACCTTTGAACACCTGCCTGCCTGGGCTTGGCACCTGCCCACTGTTCCTCCCCAGGGCATGCAGTGACATGTTGCTTTTGCCATATCTCAACTTGAAATATATTCACACAGAGACGGGACTTTTCTCATGATCCAATAAAAAAGAACAATCTCTAGTTAATGCCTGACTCGGTTACTTTCTCATCACTGAGACACAATGCCCAATACTGACACTTAAAAGAAGAGAGATTTATTTTGGCTCACAGTTTGTAGAGATCTGAGTCCACAGTTGGCTGCTCCCTGGCTGGGCAGCATCGCAGATGGGCATCACAGAGGAGAAGCTGCTCATGCCAAGGCAAACAGGAAGCAGAGAGGGATCAAGGGAGGAGGAGGGAGGCAGACCCTTCCAGACCACGCCCCCGGGACTGCATTCTCCCAATCCCGCACGTAGCTGTGAACTCACCAGGGGAAGAGCCCATGACAGTACTTCACCCTCTGGCCCAGGCGCCTTCCCCGGGCCCCGGGTATGATGAGTGCAGGAGGTGTTGAGGGAATATCCAGATATAAGCCGCAACAATGCCTAGCCTCATCCCAACACCACTACTTGATATTTTGTTTACTTGCTCATTTTCTGTACTTTCCACTACCATAAAAGCTTTTGGGTTTTTTTTTTTGGTACTGGGAATCAAACTCAGGACCTGGCACTTGCAAGGCAGCCACCGGAACCACTGAGCTAAATCCCCAGCCCCATAAAAGCTTTTTGGGAATACAGACCTTGTCCAGAAAGTGATTTCATTTCACAGACAGGACAGACTTGTGATTCTGTTAAGGAAGGCACTTCACATTGTCACATGGTATGTGTACAGATACGTAACATGGAACATTTGCAGACTACCTTCTGGTCCTCTACATTTTCTATTCAAATTTAATTCCATTTTACTTTCAAACAATATTAGTGTGATGCACCAACAGGATCATGAGCCATAATTTAAAATACACTACAAAGAACTGTACATATATCCTAATCTGTGGCTCCAAAGTGAAATTATTTGCCAAAATTATTGCCACTAATAGATAACAGAGATGGTTATTCATATGGAGATGATTCAAAATATGTTTAAGGGAAATTTTGTCACCAATACTACCCTCTGAAGGGATTAGAATGAAATTTTGTCACTGATAGTACTCTTTCTTAATTTTTTTTTACTAGTAGTCCTAGGACTCTTTGGAAGTGAGGGTTTATAGACTGTAACATTTCCTATGCCTAGTAAAACTTGCCTTCCTCAGGCACACTTGGAAAAAACTACTATGTCCACGACAAAAATCCTATATCCTTCTTTCACATTATTTGACTTGTAATTATAACTGCAAATAGAAAAGAAATATCTTCTACAGATAAAATTGTAACCCTGAAAATATAAATATCAATCTTCTCTTCCATAACTCCACCTTTACAGACGTCAAACTTTCTGTTTCCTGCTCTCATTCATTTGAGAAAATTTTCACCCATTTATGCTAGTAATATTTGGTCTAGTTTCTCTGGCCAAATACTGCCTGGTACTGGTGACAAATACCAAGGAGATATCCAGGCATCCAAATATCAGATTGTAGTAACACACATTATGAATTAAATGTGTCAGGCAGGACAGGAAGCATTGTCTCAGTTAATGACCTCAGTGACATGACAAAAAGGCCACGTGAACTATTCTGTGATTTTTATGGGTAACTGTTGTGATTTTGTTCTTTTCTACAAGATTATGTTTAAATATTAGAAGGATAATGAACAAAAATCAACTAGGCTCCATCAGGAACAACATTGAAGAAGCCCAAATTTTCTTTGAAATGGGATAAACTGATGACTTATCAAGCCATTTGTGCCCCAAAGCATGCTAAAGTGCATTTCTTATGCTTTATGTAATATCTTCAGACATTACAGAAGATCAAAACAACTTTAGTTTAATAAACTTTTTAGCATTTATAAGATTTTGTTTACTGGGACAGAACATAATACTATTTTAATTGATTTTGTAACATTCAGCATCATCAAATCATTTATATAGAATCTACTATCTTTGTTGTCTTAATCACAGTAAAACACAGTGTACCATGTCACATAGCACAATTATAAACCCTACTTGCTGTGACACTTACCCATCAAAGCTCATTGTCTCACTATAACTCTCATAAAACCTACCATAGCTTTGACATTGTTATTGTTTTTAATTAGGAAATCATAACCATAATCCCTTTTATTTGAGAGAAAATATCACATTTAATCTACATTCTATGTAAATAGATTCTTACTCTGATGCACCCATTTAGAAAGAAATTTTTCTGAGTTTTATTTACAAAAGTCCAAATTAACACGTAATTGTTTTAGGGATCTACTGAATAAGAACACTGTGTTTATCACAGTCTTCAAAACTTATTTTACATACTCCAGTTCTTCAGATGCTAGAAGCCTACACCCGCTTTGGTGGTCCAACTGTGGACCTTATCACTTTGTGTTTTCTAAGTTTGCTGTCATTTCCAGTGTGTGTATTTTTCAGTGTGCCAAACACATGTTTCATGTCCAACTATCTTAGAAAGCAAGGGAGAGTCTCTGGAAACACTGCCGTGAGGTGATTTTAGATCTTTCACTGGAGAATTCACAAACTGGTCACCGACCCTCTGTACCTCTGTCCCAAGAGTGAGGTGGAGACACAGACCTAGCCTCGCTCCCAGGGCAATGGATTAGAGCAGCTCCTGTTGGAGACGTAGAACCATACTTCAGAATTCACTTTTTCCAACAGTGTTTACTTAACTTCCCCATAGTGCTCAGATATACACACACCTGTGCAAATGTAACACTCCTTGTGTGAAAATGCATTTTCATAAACATTCATGTTAGGTACCAAACACTCAGGAGTCCTAAGTACTAAAGCTGTGATTTGTGGTCCAGGAGGAACCTCTAGGCTATTTTCTTTCTTTTTTTTTTAATTCTTTAAAATTTTTTTTTCTCTTTAGTATTGGGGATTGCACACAGGGCGTTTGCATTGAAGTGCATCTTAATTTTGAGACAGGTTATTGCTAAGTCAGTAAGTTGCCCAGGCTGAGCTTGAATTT